GATCTGTGTGAAACCAAGCATTTAAAGCTTGATATGTCTAAGCATTTTGCCGCCAAGGATCATGGACCAGTCAAGAAGATTTTGGGCACGTACATCCATAAAGACAGAAAACAAGATAAGCTTAAGTTAAGTCAATCTGAATATATTTTTAAAGTTCTTGAGTGCTTCAATATGATTGAAATAATATTATGTGTTATATTATAATATAATTATTATTATAACACCACTGCTCCGGTGTTGATGGTGTGACTGAAAGTAGCCGCGATAGGGCACCCCAAAGCAGCAGCTTTGCTTAAGGGAATAGTGAATGGGGAGAACTTGTGTTCCGACTTTCCCTTATTTCTACTATTCCTAAACAGGTGAAAACTACATTAATAGGGAAAGTCAGACACTTTCACCGCTTTACGCCTGATGTTCAAGTGGTGTAGTTCAAATGGGATTCAACCGAAATTCAGTAACTAATATTGAAGAGATGTTGGATACTAACCTACGAGCATGGGTTATTTGAGAATAACCAAGATTAGAACGTCCATATTATATGGAGAATGGGAAAGATGGTTGAGTTCTCGAGGGGATACAAGGAAGTCTTGACCTAATCCTACGACAAAATGTCAACAAACATAATACTGCCATTCTTCAAAGAAAGGAGCAAGTCAAAAGAAGACCCCATCTCCAAGCTAAAAAGTTAAAAGGGAAAAGCCACTCAAAGTTTCAAGTTAGAAGCCTCAACCACCCATCAAAGTCAAATCATATGGTGGATAAAAAAAGAAAAAAAATTAGGTTGAGTTAAAAATGTGAAAGGACCCAATTGTTAGAAAACAAGCTGAAAATTCTGAAGGAACCCCGTGCAAGCGAAGGAAAAAATCAAAAGAAAGAAATCCAAAAAGGTAAAGAGCCTACAAAATCTAAAGCAAAATGAAAGGCTTGCAAAATTCCTTGAAAGTCAAAAGGGGTCCAATATCACAAAGAAAAGAAGATGCTAGAAGTCCCAAGTTAATACCAGTTCGGTGGTTAAAGCAGTCAAGGTCATTAGTCTTATTGATCAGGGTTAAGGAACTCTCCATGTAAATCCCAAGGACGTCGATGATCCGAACTCCAAAGAGTAGGTGGTAGAACAATGAAATTGGAAGTTTAAGGAGTTCCTAAGCGCTACATTTTCCAAGACACTTATTCATTCGAAAACCTTGAAGAATGCTTTGGATTGTAACATGAGGGCCAATATTGGAAGATGGAGTACTTGATGATTCTTAGTCCTGACAGTCCAACTAAGGTTGAGCAAGCTCATAGGTTCAACTAAGGGGTCACAAGTGGTTAAATTGTGAGACCCACTATTCTCGAAGAATTTTTAAAATTCTTTTTTCAAAATTTTTTTAATATCCTTTTTGAGTAAATTTTTTTAGTAAAAATGCTCCATAGTGGCATGAGCCCAAGATGCTAACCTCGTTGTTTTTCCTTAAATTTTGTTTCAAAGTCCATTTTAAGAGCAATTTGATGGATGCTTTTAAAATTTTGTGTCTTGTAATTTCAAAAGCCTAATTTCTTTGTTAAAATTGTAATCTGGTACCAGTTTCCATTTCAAAATTTCTCCCAAGATAGAATTTTGTGTCTTGTAATTTCGAAAACCTTAATTTCTACGTTAAATTCGCAATCGGGTACCAATTTCTATTTCAAAAATTTCTCCCAAGATTAAAAAATTGTCTTAAATGTTCTAAAAAACAAAGGAGTTGGAGGGTCTCCTGAGATTGTTTGACCAAGAAGTAGTCTAGCACTGAGAGATGAGGACATGATGATGTTGATGAAAAGTTTGAACCGAAGATCCAAGAGGATTGCTTGAACCAAAGAAGTATCATTCCAAACGCGAGTGAGGCCATGCTAAACCCATTTCAGGAAGCCAATCATCAAAACCCATAGCCCTAGAAAGAACTTAAGAGCAAGGGGAACTTTGGAAAAGTAACCGAGTCCAACAATTCAAGAAGAAAATTGAAAACCTAAGATCAAATGGCATGGTAGAAAATCTAGAATTCGGTGATGACCAATGTAAAAAAACCATCCTAAAAAATCTCAGGTGAAAAATTCCAGGATGAACATGCCCTAGGTGACTGAATAGGCTGACGGCGTCCCAAGGACACTCTAGAAAAAGCCCAGTGTCTAGTGGCAAATCAACATAAAAACATCCTAAAAAGCTCAGCCGAAATAAATTTTAGTGAAAAGGTCTTGGACGATGAGCAGGATGATGTGACATCCCGTGGATGCTTTGACAATGCCAATGTATTCTAACCATTTCGTATTAGGGAAGAAAAGACTTAGTCACCCCCATCTATTCCTCGAGGAGTAGGGTATGCCAAAGAGGGGCAACTATGGGCACCCAATTTGAAATTGGCTGAGTTTCTTAATTCCTAAAACCTTGAAAACCTGTAAAACCTGAACCCTAGGGACCATACTACCCTAGTGCACCATAACCTACTGCATTATCCTTAGGAAAGGTACCAAATCTCCCTGAATCTAGGTAAATCAACATAAATCTGATCAAACCTAACTAAACCTATCCTAATTTTCAGACTTATCCAAAACAACTGACAATTCTCGAAAGCCGGAAAATCCCATATCACTGTTGCTAAACTTAGCAGGAGGTCCGACAATAGGCAAAAACATTTTGAGTCAGAAGTGGACCAGTGACACCTTGGGCCCCAGAATTTCTAGGAAGCCAACTCTAATTCATATAAGCACTTTTCAGTAATGCCCCGACTTCCAGTTCAACTTCTAGATGGTGATTTTTGGAAGTTTTCTGGAATCTTAGAACCTATTGAAGATTGAATTGTTTGACTAGTCAACAAGCAAACCCTAAAAAGCGTAAAGATGGATCTAGAAGTCCCAATCCAATTGAACTGGGATCTAGCCAAAGGCCTAGATAAAACCCCCTCTAGTTCTTTTTAGAACCCAAGCTTAAACCTTTAGGCTTGAGTCCCAACTCTAGAGAAACTCTAGAGCTTAGAAAACCCTAGGAGACTCAACTCTAATTCCCTACAGCCCCAATTCTCTGCAACCCTAAGCAAACACCCCTAGGAACAACATTCGCTAAGCAAACAAAATCCTAGAAAGAACATGCTCTGGGTACTTCTCTAAAATTCAAGCAAACCTCTAGGGTTGAAGATGAAGATACTTCAACTGCTAGTCTAGTCTAGGTCACAAACTTTGGGTGTCGGACCAGAGGGACTGGTTCCAAGTAAGTTACTCTTCTTTTCTTGTCTTTAATTTTCAATTTATTTCCTTTCTTTTCCTTGATTTCCTGGTTTCTTCATGGATTTTGTGTGATTTGGAGCCGGCATTGCTGACGGTGTGTGAAGAGGTTATTCGTTTCTGCATATCCATATTCTTGACTTCTTGTGCATTATTCAATGGATCCCACTATTCTCTATAAAAATTTTAATTGTTTAGTTTGAGGCATAAATTACGGAGGATTTAATCTCGAGATATTCTCGGATTTGGTTGTAATAAATAGTCATGTATTATTTGGTTATGGAATAGCCATATTGGTGTTTTAGAACTGTCCTGTTCATGGACCATACAAGTGCGTTGTTTCAGAAGCTATTGGCATTTCACATTTCCTAAGGAATCTTTAAGAAAAGATTCCTAGAAACAAATTTTTCTGATAATCTCTTGGGACTTGCAATAATTAAAGGACGCGGTTAGCATGCAGGCCAAGCACTCACATGTAGAAATGCAGACCCCTTAATAAATCTGTTTTTGAGATGGATTTTTGGACTTAATTTTTAAGGTTATGTAATCTCTAACATGGAGATCAATGAAAAAATAAATAAATTTTTAAAACTAAAAATAATAATTCTATTAAAAAAAACATTTGGACCGTTAGTTTCAATTGTTTTTAGATTAACCACATATTTGCATCTTTCTTTAAGATGGATGCTTTATAGTTCTAGACTGCATATGTAGGAATGCAGTCCAGCCCGCATGAAACAATTTTCCATAATTAAATTGTCTGGTTTTGGAAAATATGCTATCGTAGGCATGGAGGTTATTTAATTGGAGGTCCTCCATTATTCTATAATGAATCTGGCTCCTCTTCAGTCCAGTTGGAGAGCATGCAGTGGGAGATGCATGTGCCATGCTTTACTTCTCTTAACATGAGCTCACTATCTTCTTTTTTTCTTTTTCTTTTTTTTTCTCCCAATAATGGAATATCTCTTTTGGTTTGGCACATGAAGGTTTCAGATTCTAAAATAGTTCAAGAAATGTTGTCATTTCTATGATAACGCAGGGAGGCATAGCCGCAAATTATGTTGTGCAGAGGCATCTGCTAACTAGAAACTCAAATACATCAAATAAATTTTCTGATTGTTTTGTTCGATGGAGTTCTTTTTCAAGTTCAAACTGTTATTTAGGTTCATATTGTGTGCATACAGTAGTTTTTTCTCCATTTTCTGGTGGAGGGAAATTTATTGTGTGAAGTTGATTTATCACACTTTGCTCTTTCAAACGATTATTCGGAGGTAGTTTGGACAACTTCCCTACAGGTGTTTCTCTTCTTGAGAATATGAATTGATACCTTTACAAAAAATATTTTCGAGTTCCTATAAATGCTTCTAGTTATGATAAGCTATTGGTTTATGAGAATAAGATTATTTTCTACTGCAAAATCATTTGTTATTTACGGCTACTCTCTTTTGATACTCCAGGTGATTACTCAAGCTCTTCTTACCAGTGGCATGAGACGGGATTGTGGGACTTGCAGTACCGGAAAATTTTTGGCCTTGTTGATGGTTGCTGGTTTGACATATCTAATGGTATCACATAGGTCTTCCATAAATTATACATCTGATGGATTAGTGAAAGATATTGCAAAGGGGGGAGACAAACTCATCAGAGAAGGTGCTATCGAGTCCTTAAAAAATCTTTGGAGAAGAGCACCTAGACTTCCTCCAAGATTGTCTCCTGGTGAGAGTCAGAATGGAACCTTGGAGTGGGTAAACCGGCGGGATAGGGTAAAGGCAGCATTTGTTCATGCATGGAAAGGCTACAGAAGTTACGCAATGGGCTATGATGAGCTTATGCCAATGAGTAAACGAGGAGTTGATGGCCTAGGAGGTCTTGGGGCCACTATTGTGGATTCTTTAGATACGGCTATTATCATGGGTCTTGATGATGTCATTGAAGAAGCAGGGACTTGGATAGAGAAAAATCTCCCTGAAAGAATCAGAGAGAAAGGCCAGGTGAACCTATTTGAGACAACCATTCGGGTGCTGGGGGGACTACTTAGTGCCTTCCATTTAAGTGGAGGACAAAGAGGAACAGCTACAAATTGGGGTGCTCTGAATGTGGTAAAAGGGCCCAAACCTGAGGTTTACCTGGAGACAGCGAAGAATATAGCAGACCGCCTGCTATCTGCCTTTACTTCAAGCCCAACTGCTGTTCCTTTCTCTGATGTTGTTCTTCGTGATAGATCGGCACATCCAGCTCCTGACGGTTTGAGCAGTACTTCTGAAGTTTCTACTCTGCAGCTTGAGTTTTGCTATCTTAGTAATATTTCTGGTGATCCAAAATATGGGTTGGAAGGCATGAAGGTCCTGCAGCACTTGCGTTCGCTTCCAAAAGTGGAAGGGCTTGTACCAATATATATCAGGTATGTGAAGTTTTCCATAAAAAATTACTTTTGATGAAAAGTTGAAGTGATTAAGGAGCAGTGTTAACTAGAGTTAGAGTATAGACTTACTGGGTGCTGTTGTAGTATTCTTTTTTTTTCTTTCCTGATAAGAAATAACCTCAAAGCATTATTGAAAATATGATTACCAACACATGTTTGTCCGTAGTTGGCCTTTCTATTTTTTTTTCCTTTTAAAATGTACTGATATTTTTAACTGCTAACCTCTTTTCTTGTATGTATTTGCTAGTTGCTTATCGCTAGTGGTTGTCATGTTTTACTAATGATTCCATATTATAATGCTTGAAGTGATATTTCACAGTCATGGAGGACTCAAAATTGGTTTCCAAGTATCCTTACTCCTAACAGTACTTAAGTAACTAAAACATAATGTCTATTTATCATCCTGAATTGCACTTTTCTTGTGTTGACCAAAAACCGAGAGAGCTAGCATTGGCACCAATGAAAGGACATTCTGGTATCCTAATTGCCTAGCCAATCTTCCTGTAAAATAACAATCTCAAGTCCAAGTCCTACAGCCTAGGGATTCATTTTTCAAAATTTCAACATTCTTCACTTAAGAAAGTATGATTAGGCTCATTATTGATCATTGACATGCATTGGGATGGGTCAAGTAGGTTCTTTAGGTTAGGAGTTCCATGTGTAATTATGCATCTCCCACTTGAGAATATTTCTCATTCCCTTTGCATTCATGGAGCCTCATGTTTACAATTCATTAAGTTAGTCTTGACAGACTCCTGAGTGGTAGCAAACCATCACTAGAGAAGGACAACTTGACCTCCACGCACCTCTCTACTGTTCAAGGGAAATTGAACGGATCATGGTCCAGCCAAATTGTAATTTACAGTTCGTAGAGTTACAGTCTCCTTCCTGTAAGCTACTAGCAACACTGGCTAGTTCTCGCTTAAAATCATTATTTCTTTATAAGAATTTGAAGTAAAACTTGTTAAAAATTGGAATAAGAAATAATGAAATAAAGAGAGAAGTGGAAAGCTCACCAAATGGGGCTCACAAGCTCGGCACTAGGAGCTGGGGCCGGACAGTTAAATTTAGCTGGCTAACCAGCCAAGTCCTAGCATGGTTTTTTTAGTATGACCATTTCTACCACAATGGACATATTTTAACTTACATTTATCTCCTTGATTCTGCCCTCCCTTCTCCATATTTATTTGTTTCACAGCCCTTAATATTTTTAGGAGGTAATGAGGCTGAAACAAGGGCAGATTGATCAAGTACTTGACCAGGTAGCATGATACTTTCTTTACTTTCCTCACTTTGACAAACGATTAGACCTGGTTAAGCAATAGAATTGTATCACTACTGAGTATTTGGAGCCTAGCTAATTCAAACTCTGAGTTCAATCTGGCTAAGAACTTAAAAATTTGATTTTCTTCCACAAACTCTTTGTATTTTTCTCCATCTGCCTCATGCCAGTTTAAACATCAGATAATGGTCCAACTCCTCACACATACTACGAAATAAAGAAAAATATGTTTCAAGAGACCTTTCCTACTGTCAAAGATGGGAAATTTCCTGTCTCAATTGGTATACTCGAGCCACATTGTAGCTTTGAGAGTAAGTTTGGTGTATGGAGTCCCAAATCTTTGTTGTAGATTTAAGAAACAAAAAACCATGTTAATTGATGGTTGCATGGAATGTAATAACCAAGACATAATTGTCAGATTTTCAGTTTCCCAATTCTCATGTGAAGGATCTATTTTTTCGGGTTCAGTAATCTTACCATTAATATGCCCCAGCTTTCCTTTTCCACCAAGAATACTAGGGGCCTTAAAATACAATTAGAAGTCAACTAGGAGCCAATATTCAATTTCACAACAAAACGTTCCAGATATAGATCCCTTAAGTTTAATAAGAAAATTAAAAAATAGGAGGCATCTTGTTTTGTATCAACCGTCTTCTAATCCTTGATTCTATCATGGATCCTGCTATACGACTGAATTGATAGATGGGTCTGATGGTTATGTAAAAAATCCCAAATGACTCTTTTCTTTATTTTTCTATTGATTGGTTTTATCGTTAAACACTTTGAATATTTTTTATATTGCTTGTTCTTTTCATAAATTTAAATCTCTTTGTCATGCGAGTTGACTCAGGACAATAGTTATTAAGAAATTGATCAAGAGCCTATTCACCTATTTGAGTCATATTGGCTAAGAAGCTGATTTCCCAGTCAATCTGGTTGAGACGGTAGATGGCATATGTAATGTTATTATTATTATTATTATTTAAAGAGAGGGGTTATAGTAGGCATACCAAGTGTTGCCTATTCTAATGGACAAGGGAGTAAGTTTTTGTGGAGAAGAGATAGATAAGATCTGTTTTTTGAGAAATTCATTAGAGAATTTGGAATGGCAAAAGAGCACGAAATCATGTGGAGGAATTACTACATAGAGTAGATGGCATTGAATTTGATTCCAGGTGGTACCATTTGAAATGCCCTTGTCCCAAAGACAACATGCCTTAATGGGGTGCACCAGTGCAGACTTGAGATCAGTGCTTCAACTGCTATTCTGATAGTATTGGGGTGTTATGAAGGTTGTTGCTTTCTACAACAAGATTGCAATCGATGATGCAATTTTATGAGAAAGATAAACTGTCTAGTTGTACAAGGAACTTTCAAATATGTATTGATATGCGAGATGAAGTCTGAAGAATGGAATATCGATCATTTGTGAGCAATCTTGAGGTCTGGAGAAGTAAACTTTACTGGATGCTCCATGGGCTTATTTTATATCATTGTTTGATGAAGGAATAAAGCTTTAAGACTGTAAATCAAATACACTGTAGTTGAAATTTTACTTAATATGAGTCAAAAACATTTCAGATCATATTTTATGTCATTTAAACTCATGAGCATAACTTGGAACGAACTTAAGTGAAGTTGTTTTCACACAAGCTGAGTTATCCTGAATGGGTTTTTACTGACACAAATGTGTTTTTATTTTTAGAAACTTGAGCATGTCTTTCGGAGCTCTCCTGAATCTTAGTGAGTGAGCTCAAGACTTGGCCTTAAGGGTTCATGTGGGAGGCTAGGCTGGAATGTACTTGCTGATTTGGGCTTTAGGTTTTTTACCTTGTTGTTGGTTTCAGTGGCTGTTACATTTGCAATTTTCTTCGTACTTAGTGAATAATTAATGTCCTATTGGAAAAATAAGGTGGTTGGGACATCTTAACTACTCGTCTCTTATTTAAATAGAAGGTTAGTGAATAATTAATGTCCTATTGGAAAAATAAGCTGGTTGGGACATATCAGCTACTCGCCTCCTATTTAAATAGAAGGTTATTGCTACTGCTGTCTCTCATCCAAGTCTAATGGAGAGATGATACCCTCCTCCTTTGGGTTTGGTCAAACTTTGCTTTTGAATGCAAGCTGCTGGGCCACCTGGCATGGCAGTATCCTTCCAGACCAAACTCGATGTTAGTTTACTGGATCTCATTGACCAATTTTTTACTGCCTTATTTTGAAAAGCAATTGTCTTCTATATGTAATCATACCATTTTTTATTGAGGTTTTTTGTGCTGCATTTTCATTCACCCAATTCACATTTTATATTGACATTTTTCTTTCTTTTTTCCAATGAAATTTGTGTCGTTGTTTTCGGCATTCATTTTTCTCTGATTTTGTCACCAAACTTGGATGAGGTTGTATCCTAGCTGTACTAGTTGCAATCCTTATGAATCTTTGTTGTCAGTTTTGAGTTTTATGGTAAAGAATGTTGCTTTTGTTTTACATGATTGCCCCATTGAATTTTTGTAATTGCAGCCCTCACTCTGGGCAATTCAGTGGAGACAATATTAGGTTGGGATCTCGTGGAGACAGCTACTATGAGTATTTGCTTAAAGTTTGGCTTCAGCATGGAGAAAGTCGAGATAATGTGAAGTATTTGCATAGCATGTATGAAGATGCAATGAAGGGTGTTAGACACCTCCTTGTTCAGAGATCAGTTCCCAAGGGATTGGTTTTTGTAGGGGAGCTTCCTTCTGGATCAAAAGGGGCCTTCAGTCCTAAAATGGACCATCTGGTATGTGAGAATTTTATTGTTTATGGTTCCTTGCAATTCAGCTTGCTATTGAAACATTTTGCAGATCCTGGAAGGGAGGCTCATCCTCCCAATGATGGTAATCCCTTGGTGATCCATGGGCATTTCCTATTAAATATTCTGTGCTATTGTATGATTCTAGATGCCCTCACCCATGATCGTTTTACATATCTTATGAATTAATTTGCAAATCATGCTTCCAATAATGGTATCCACACAAACGTCACCAACCTTGAAGTTCTCTTTCTTCTTCATGACTATAATAGTTAATGATAATTCTTATTGCAAATAGGCCATGTATACGTAATATAGTTTTAGCCTTAGGTTTGTAGGATATATGTTTCTTTTTTGAGAATGTTAACTGTTTTTTTTTGAGAAAGGTTTGAGAATGTTAACTGTTTTCTTTTTAGAAAGGTTTGAGAATGTTAACTGTTATAGATAGTAAGGGGTACATACAGAGAGAAGAAGAGAAATGCTATTCCACAGACGGAAAGCAAACAAGACCCTTGTGAAAAGGGGGGTGAGAGACCCCGTAAAGCAGGAGCAGGGGAATTGGTAGTCGAAATAGCAAGGCTCTAAGAGGAGAAGGAGAAGAGAATAGACCCATCAGAGAGTTTCCTGCAGGAAAGAGATGGGTCTCCCCAATGAAGTTTCCCCCATTTCTCAATGCCACGGACATCATCCCTTTGGGGATGGAAGGAATTAACCACTGAGCACTTAAAAAGGTCCGCCATCCTGAGACACGGGTCAGGAGGTAAAGAGAGCAGCCAAAGGGAGGAAGAAAGGGGCGAGGGTGGATAAGGGGGGGAAAAGAGAGACGAAGGTGGGGAGGGGGAAGCCATAATGAGCATTTAATGTTTGTAGGATGTATGTTATGAGCTCTAATTACTGCATGTAGTGAACTTAAGATTCTGGGTGTATCAATACTAATCAGTAATTACTAAACACGCTGGCCCTTGAGGTCATATTTGAGCCTGTGTGTTTTGTTCAGAGGAAATTAGCAGGAAAAAAAATCTGATGCGATGTCTTATATCTTATGCATGTTGGTAGCATAAACCGTAGGGTTGATACTATAGCATAAGTACGAAATAACTAAGGCAAATTCCATAGTGGTTACTGACTTTACATGCAAAGTTTATGGCACTAAAGGCTAATGGTTGAGTTTGATTCTTCACTGGAGACATATAATATTACAATTATGTGATGCAAAATATATCTTCGCTACTTGGGTTAAAGCTGAAATAGAGATATGTGCTGTCCTGATGAGAGTGTTCTAGAGAGGGAGAGAGAATTGAGTGGGGTATCCTAGAAGAAAGCGATTGAAGCTGCAGAGAGAGAGAGATCCTAGAATAGAGAGATTGCAGAGGGCATCCTAGATGGATGCCGGAGCTGCAGAGAGAGAGAGAGAGAGAGAGAGAGAGAGAGAGGTAGTGTATATAAATTAAGTTACGTACGAACTAACCTACCTAACCTAACTAAGTAGTAGTAGTAAGTACGTACTAACTT